TCATTTGTAATGGATACATTAATTACATAATTACTATGGCGATATTGAAAATTTATCATCTGTATAAAAAATAGTTTTATTTGTTGTTTACGAATCCTGCAAGCATTAGCCCAGTTTCCTAGCTCAGTTTTCTATGGTTCTATAAACTTTGGTCCTTGGTTAACTGTATATTTATTGATAGGAGACCTTTATGACAAATACCAGGGGCCCAATTATCAAGGTATATAAAATACTTATAGATACTCGATGGTTTTTCAAACAAGAGGGTGTTTCTCAGCTGCAATCTCATCGAAGGGTGACAACTCTAAGATGAGTTGTAGCTTAGTAACATCCTCGAGTTAGAAAAATCATTGATAATATGTTTATAGCTGTTTTTATCTAGACAACATCTATGACGTATGCTTATGACATCATGTATTCTCACTCTAATTGACTGAGAAAAACCATTCTTACTCGAGTAGCATGATATGAAAAATTATCGCAAAAAAATATCAAAGCCAAATGTAAGAAATAGCAATAATAACAATAACATTTAGCATTCGGTCGATCATCAAATCACATCTAGAATATCATTATCCAAATATATTAAAGCAAAAAAATTTAAAATAGAAAAATATTTTAGTTTTTAATACGTTTAACATGAAATCCTGGATCTGCTCCCTGATGCTTATTATAAGTCAACATTATAATTTATTTTGGATGACTATTACGATAAATTGTAATTCTGATGTTTTACAAACACAAAACTTTAAATGAAGCTAATTTACATGGTATACATGTTAGAAATCCATCTAAAGCTGCATGTTTTGTAAAACATGACATACAAACAGATGTTTGAAATAATGAATGAGTATGTTATAGCCATGTACACGTACAAAATATTTTCAGCACTTTATAGTTGCTATATGCAATCTTTAATGAATTTCAAGATGAGTAATTCAAATTTGAAATCTGCACTTTATTCATGGTTAAGGTGCAGCATTTTCTCATTCAAACATGGTTGCCTAGTTGAGTAGATTGTATTGAAAATAAAGAGGCATTTTAGACCACATTCTCTGACATCAAAAAGAGTCCAGGGGGTCGGAAGTATTTATTTAGACTATTTGCAATCAAAAAAGTATTCGAGTATCTGTCTTTATTCACACACAATTTATGTCGATCGTAAAAATTAATAATATTTTTATGATATCAGATAAAAATTAAATGTCCTCAGGAAAAGACATATCAATAAAAAGTCACGAACCAAAGTTTCTTTTGATAAGAAATTGGATATCATAATTAACGAAATAAAAAAACCTAATATTTGTCTTTTACACTTCAATCATTTACAATTAAATAATTGATAATTACGCTTCCAATTGAAAGACTATTAAATGTTCTTTAATATATCACATTTATGCAAATTGTTATTTTCATTTCTCATGTAATATTTATATGTCCTACCAATTAGTACTTCTCAAGAAATTTTCAGAACAAAAAGTTTGTTTGAATAAAGATTTAACAACTACAGTAGTTTGAATTGGTAACATTTTGGACCGTAAGTTTCAAATATTCCAAAGATATACATGTATAATTCTATATATTCATCCGAATTAAAAGCAGAAATGGCTGTATCTTAAGCCAACAACTGTGTACAATAGACATGTTTACACTTGTTTGCAACTTTGTCCACCATTACTTAAGTCACAGAAGTTCTGACAATATTTTGCATTACAAATGAAAGCAGTTGATGTCAAAATTAAAAAGTGATTGTTGTATGAGGTCTGGTGAGAAGGTTATTCAGAGCTAGATCTAGATTCAATTGGACCAAATTCAGTTAAATACTTAAAAGTGTAAGTTATAAATGTCTATACAGAAATCACGATGGAGAAATCAAGATTTCCAAAATATGCATCAAATCCAACAAATATGACAAGTTTCTGTTATAAATTTTGAAATTTTCAAAAACTGAGTCTAGCAATTCAGATCAAAGCTTCATACAATTGAGACAATGTAACCTGAAGGTACTGTAAATTCAGAAAGTATTGTGATTTTTTTATTGATGCCAAAAATGCCACAGTTATATTCAGGTTTGATGAGAAATATTTTATGAAAGGTTTAGGGATTCTTGCATTTGGACAGCTTATTGGAGTCTACTGGCATTACATTATTCTGCAACAATGCATACAACTTGCACGAAACAAGTTAATCTTGCAGTGTCAGGCTGTTGCAAGTTTTTGTATAAAATATATTTATATTTATTATTCATGCCTTTAATAAACCTGCTACACATCTGATTAATACTTCACTGTTTTATTCATTTGTAATTTTTAATAAAAATGAAAATGAAAAAATAACATTACAAAAGAAAAATACATTATAACTTACATTTTTCTTTATATTCCTATATCTTCTACAAAGTATATACCTATCAAAATTTCTATCGATTTACAAAAACCCATCCAAAATATTTATGATCATCTTTGAATTTGTCAATTTTATGATCACTTTTGAGGCCTTTGTCAACAAAAATTACCTTAAATAAAACAATAAAGCAAAGTTTAAGTCTTGCCTGCATCACAAATTGATCCATAAATTGTTCATGTGCTTTAAATGGATAACTGTTTCAAGATATTTTAACTCTAAATCAACATTGATTATTTGTGTAATTTTATTAAATTGGAAAATTTTTGGCAGCTGATCTTAGACGATTTTCAAACAACAATGAATTTCCGTCCATCGAAGAAAGACTCCATTGAGCCCATATTCAATCAACTTTCTCGTTATCCAGTACAAAAAATGTCGTAATACAGCAAGCACCTGTTAGATGGGAAACCTTATGGTTTCAAGTCTTGTCACTCTTGATAGTCAGAAGAAGGTATGAAATCCTTGAATTTTGACTAGCAAGCAATTTTTTCCTTTCAAATTTTGTATGCATTACTAAAACTAAAATGGACAAGGCCATCACCATATACAAAAAAAAAAAAAAATTGCAGAGCAAGAAATAAGTCTATTTTTTCTTTTTCAGGGTCATTTTTTAAAAAAGTCTATTTTTACAAGAAGGAGAGGGTCTGCTTGGGTCAAGACATGAGTTATGGATATGAATAGAATTAGGCATTCACAAAATTGAGAATAAAACCAAATATGACAGTAACTTCAAATTAAGTAGTAGAATGCATATACAAATTAAAAGTGAACTAAAATACGAATTATGTGTAAATCCAAAAATTTTAACCAAATTACGTCAGCCAAAGAAAAGATGAACAAATTTTGCTTACCAAGCCGATTTGGAATTGTCCAATATTAAGGTCAAATATCATAGAATTTTAATATGACAGGCTGAATTTATTAAATCATATTTACATTAACTTGTAAATTGAGCATGAAAATGTTAAGTGTCTAAACCATAGAGTCAAGACAAATATCAAGATTTGATTGAAGGTGTTGCGCAAATATTTCTTCAAGACCAATTTTATAAATCAGATTACTGTACGAAACTATGGTCTACTACTGATCTACATATATATACGTATATATTGTCAAAATAAAATTCAACCTTATTTCTTAATTAAATATTTGACCAAAGAAAGAGTTATTAAATCCATGTTAAAGTCAAAAAAGAAAATCTGCCCCATAATAAGAGAGATTTAAAATTGTGTTAGAAATCACAATGACGCTAAATTCTGGAATTTGATTTGAGTATTTGTATATTTGTGAACGGATATACTGTTCAAGATAAATAGAGAATTGTAATTCACTGAAAATGTTTAAAAAGGGTCAAATTTGTCCAGTAAAAAAGCCAACTCTCCCAACAGATCAAGGTGTATTATTAAATTCTTATTAATTTCAAAAATCCTCCAAAATTTATTCAATTTAAAAAATCTAATGTAGTTCTATCTATAAACACTAAAGTCTAGAATTTAATAATTTTAACTGAAATATAATCAATCTTGCATTACTACCCAATAAATTTTTCCATTAAATTGAAGAAAAATCAAATTGTAACCATTTAAACTTTTAGTTAGAGTGAAACCTAGGATACAACTAAAGTTATCGTTTTTTGCAAACATTTCGTTTTCCTATAAAACAGTAAAAAGTTCTCATTTATTGCAAACATTTTGTTTTCTTATGAGGCAGTCAAAAGTTGTCATCTATCTTGACGGGGAACCTGTCCCGACAACATTGTCAGATTATCTGTAAGTTACCCCTATCACCTATAAGAAGTCTGATTCTATACAATTTTGTAATCCTCCAAACAAAACTATCAGCATGACTACTTGATAGATATACAGACTGTTAAAGTTTCAATAGGAGAGTAATTTGTATCAGTGACTAGTTTTCCAACGATTGCATTGTATCACTGTATGACTATATGATTTTTTTTTTTTTTTTAATAAATATTATTTATATTCTTAGTCTAGCACAGTAAATATTTATCTCCTTGGGCATCATACATTTTTGCAAATTAAAAAAAAAAAAATATCATGCAAAATATTCATTTATTGTAAATATTGAAATTTTAATGCTACTAAACAAGAAAAGAAGGGTATGGTGTAGGTATATGTATAAATTCATGTCACAAATATAAATGTAAACATAGAAAATATTGCCACAATTTTATTTTTTCTACTTTTTAGGTTAGAGTTGAAAAGCAAAATTAAAACTACAGCGAATATTTCATTGGACTAAGACTAAATATATACCACCTTGAAATCATCAAGTAAAAGTGACATGAAATTGAATTTAGTTGGCAAATCGTGAATAAATGACAGAGCGTAAATTTTGTGGTTTAAAGTAAGGGTGTACACCTAAACATGTGGAAACTTCTTACTGCTTCAATATACAGCACAATAGAGACTGATTTTTATTTATTTCTGGGTCCTTAATACCACTTTAAGACAGACCAGCAAAATTTAATGCTTAAATACAACCTAACACAACTCTTTAACACAACATGATGTGATAAAAGCAGGGGAAATTGTACGCCAAAAGTTTATTAATTTTCATGTCAATATATTTACCTCTATCTCTCTGTCGCAGCTGTCGTAACGCTAATCGTATCTGCTTTTTCTCTTCATAATCATTGGTCTGTGTAAGCTGAAAAGAAACATTATAACATTGATACAACAAATGCTACATAGATTTAGAACTGAGTTTTTTTCTCGGTTAATCCACAATGATTTGTACAGAACATGTTTTAATTTTATGGTTTCTGCACTTCATTGCATTGTATAGTTCATCATTAAACAGGGGACCGTGTTTATGAATGTTTAATAAGCATTTATGTAATTCAGTGTTTTTTGCATTTTTGTTCAACCAGAATAAGTGCATTCAATAGGTCAACTTCTACGTATGTTATTGGACAAGCAACAACAGAAAGAAAATGGAAACTGAATTAAAATCCTAATTATTGTTGGTAGACTTTTTTGGCGGATGTCTACAGCCTAAGATTTGATTTAAGCAAGTTTCTCTTTTTTTCACTAAGTGTGCATAACACAAATTCCTGCACTTAACACCGCAGCATGATTCTGTTTTCTTGTACCTAAATCTTTTGTGAAGCTTAGTTTATGTTAAAATGATAGAATTTAATAGAAAGTATTCATATGAATAATATCTAATAAATTGGGGCTCTAAACTAATGCAGATATTGAGGGAAATCTTTGTAACAAAAATAGTTTATTTCCACAAAAGTCTAAGAACACTCTTTGCTTATTTAGAATTTTAAAGAGAATGATGAAGGGTGTTTTTTTTAGCTAAATGGTCATTATTTACATTTTTTCTTTAAAAAAGATAAATATGCACCATTCAACCATAAAAATGATCTTCTGTGTATCATGAAACCCCAACTTTTATTTCACCTAATCCTATGTACATGCATGCCCTTGCTCCCTTTACACCACTGCCCCATTTACCTTCATCTTATTAATATCTAGACCTCAATTGTATTCTAGTAAAACAATAAGTAAGGCAAAACTCTTGTTTTAGGTAAAAACGTGGAAAATCAATCTCTGTATTGTCAATAAAGGGGAAAATTTCATTAAATTTATGAAGCTGTTGTACTGGAAAATTGTTTCAACACATAGAAGATATTGATCTGTCAAGAATCAATGTGTATAATCTGTAATCTATTAAAAACATTAAAGAATGTTGAGATCAATTGGCAGGTATATTTTATTTTTACACCTGTGGTTTACATTATGTAAGCTCCATACAGTACTGGTGTCATTTCCTTTTTTCCCCCAAATGGTAATTTTCAATTGAATAATTTTGTACTTAGACAGGAATATTTGATAAGGTTTTTGACCAATAATTTCAGGGCTCTATATCAATGAAAATGTTTTGCTTTGAAGTAAACTCTCCAGGAGTATTGTTAATTGTTCTTGCTGTTTTTTGTCTGTTGTTTTCTGGAGTCTGGTGTTTGTTAACCCGAATAAATCAGTTGTTATATCCAATCAAAATCCTGGATTCATGACGCGTTTTTATTGTATAAAGAATTCAGGCCCTCGCGAGTGGGAGAGTCGATCACGGGGAGAGACTGAATTATTCGGGTTAGGTGTTTGTATAGTCTAATATTCTTTGTTACTCCTTTTGATGCATAATATAGATAATCTTAACATTTGATTGGCTATTTTCAAAATAAAAGGAATGGAGATATGGGGTAATATTCATTAAACAGCAATCAACACCACATGGATACAACAATGATAATTGTGAGGTCAGTAATAGCTGTGGAAAACCATTGCCATCACTTGGTTGAGTATATAGATATAAGTATATCTCATGTATTTGAGCTTTCTTACTCTCATCATTTGATTAGCCTCAAGTTTTGCAGCTATCACTACTAAAGATAGACAAAAAATTCTTAATTGCACTGTCCAAATATTCTATACCCAATTTATTCCATCAGTACCATAAAATTTCCTCCAGTGGATATTAAATTCCATAATATGTCTTCCATTGTGAACTAATATTATAAAGGGAATTTCTATTTCATAACAGTGACAGGTAACTTTACATAATTTCTAGACATGAAGGGATTCCCCAAATTTCAAGTTGAGATCTCTAAAACATAAGACTTTGAATACTTTATTCTTATACTTTCATGGTAAATATTTTGAAACAAAATATATTTTCAATTCAGAGTTTCTTACCTTTGCACTGATCAAGTTCTGCGACCGCGACCACAGAAGATGTGATCGTGGTTCGGTAGGCATATCCAAACTTAATTTACGATGCATGTAACTGACAAACATAGCCAATGTTTTTATAATTTCTAATAAATCTCTATTGAAGAACAATTCAACATTTCAAATTTCCAACTGTCAACCAGTTATGAAATATTCCCATAAAAATATCCATACATTACGAATTTAAAATCAGCAATAAATATAACAGAATCCATGTCGTTTATATTTAATGTCTATGACACAGTAATTTTCTTTTTTATTTAACTGTCACATGACCTCCAGCAAAATTAGTTTGAAACGGTATTTACCCCCACTCAAAATATTTACTTGTAAGGATTTAAACATTGTGTAAATAGCTGAATTAAAGTAATTCAAAAGAATTCAAAATTGATATAACGGTAACAAGGCTATTCAATATACTGTCCCAAACATTCTACGATTCTTCCTCAGGAATAATTGCTATCTTAATGTCATGTATCATGTCAATCAGCACAAAATCTGTCTTTTTATAAAAGGTTATCGTAATCTACACTGTCCTGTGTGAAAATTAAAAACATCTTAATACATGATAACACCAAAAATGACTCCATATCCAAAATGAAAAATAAATTATCCGAGACACATCAATGTTTTCATTCTGTTGAAACTTGGCTCTATCTATCTATATATGTAATAAATTGGCCTAACGAAAAATAAATATATTGATAAATCTTGGATTGATTCTTTAACGATATGCTAGTCCAATACATGAAAGGAATTTCCGACAAAAAGTAAACACAGTCTTTCATTATTATGGTGAATAGCATGCCATGGTTTTCATAATAACTATCTAAGTAAACGGTATAATCAACAGGGGATTATAGTCATAACGGTGAACATTCAGGTAACAAAATTTGAAGGCAATTACTTCCATGACGAAATAAATAAGAAATAATTATTTAAAATGGTGTATATCTTAAAAGATATAAATGTTCTTTTATGAAGACTAAAATTGGACAAATTAGTTACGTAATAAAATAATTAATTTGTCTATTGTGTAACAGAGGGTGGAATTACACAAGTCGCAATTATAGAAATGGAACCAAGTTCTTACATTGAAATATCAATTTGAAGTTTAAAACATTTTAAATGAAGATATGATTAATGTCAAGCTACAAGGTTTTCATAAAAATCTTCTTTCACACAAATCCAAAATATCGTACAACATAACTAATGAAGTTCATATTATTTCATTCAATTTTTTTTTTCTCAGGAATTATGATATTAACTGTTTATTTTAGTGTATGTATTACCAAGGTTACAGCATCCTTGAGAATGTGGCCTTAAATTATTTCTCCATATATGTTTAAGCAATTTAATAAGATTCTGATACTGTTTTAAAATTTTCTCCTTGTCAAGTTTTCATGGTGTCCTATTAACTCTTACTTTAGGAATGATGAATTTTCTTTTTGAAAAAAATCTAGAAGCAGTTGATTTCATTAATTTTGAAATGATCCTTACTATTCTAATTAAAATTTTCAAGCATGCAGCTTAAATCACTCGAAAAATTAACATACAAAAAAAGTAAAAAACCAAAATCTTTGGAGATGCAAACTGCAAAATTATGCCTTTCCATGTAAACTCACAAAGCGATAAGATTTTTTTTACAAAACAGTACAAAAACACTTGTCACAATTACCCCATAAAATGTTCTTATCATATTTACACAAAGAATTGTCAGAGCTTCTTGTTGTATCATACAAGTTCAATATGTATAAAGAACATAACAAAATAAACATATTATTTACTCATAATATTAATCCCTGTTCTTAACACCTTTTTGTTTTATATATAGATTGTCAAGTGCTGTGTTTAACGTGATGAGACCTCCTAGTTAGCTTGTGAATGGAATATCTCAAGAAGAAAAATATTGACTTATGTTTAACTACATGTACTTCGAGTGCTTAATTTGCTTCTAGCTGATAGTTTCCTTTGTTATTCCTGTAAATAATACAATGCAATTTCTATTCTTTTACATCACATGTAAAAGGTACAGTCTTTAGTAACCAACTTCTATGAGGGTCTGGATGGGTGGGAGGAGGGTCCCTCATTTCTGTATTCTTTAACTTTAAGGTTATTATTCTCTATTCTTTTCTCACTTTTTTGCCCATTATTCTCTATTTTTTATTTGTTTGGCCTATTTACTCTTTTCTTAATTTGTTTGGCCTGTTTTTCTCTTATTTTTATTTTCTAAACCTTTCATTCTGAATTGTTTTCTAATTATTCTCTATTCTGCAAACCCCACCAGACCCTCATTCATTGCAACTTGAAAGCAGACATTATCTTTAGAACAGTCAACATCATGCAATTGCCATTCAGCATTCAAAATGTATACTCATTAAAGGGACGGCCATCACTACATGAGTATCTTGTTAAAAATATCCAAGGGGTTTAGTGAAAAGTCCTTTCACAAGACCACTGGTAAAAATAAATGGTGTACTATCCATTGTCTAAGAAAGATACGAATTGAAAAGTCATTCACACAATCTAACATAAGAAAAATTGGCAAAGATAGACATCAATAAGTTGACATATATTTGTTTTCATTTTCTTTGTCAACCTTATTTTGCACCCTTTTATATTCCTATTCATTTATCGTTTCTTTCACAGTGAATGCAGTAAGATGAAAAGTAATAAAATGAAAAACAGTAAAATTCATTGTACAACAAGCGTTTAATATTAATAGCTACATTAGACATAAAACATAGGACATTTAAACCCTCCATCAATAAACTTTTATTTTAGAAACTGCATGTATTTATAAATCATGGCTGCTATTTTTATTAAGATTTAACAACCCCAAAATAACTCTTATTAAAAAGAAAGTCATCTGTTATACATGTACTATCAACATTAAACTATGCAAAGGACCAACACTGGTAACCTCTGACAATGGTTCCCTGTCAGAGATTGTACAAGGTACCATCAGTCTTATTTCCTCATTGTGAAACAAACATTTATCACAGATTTCAGTATCTGATTAATATCATAAAACAAACATTGAAGTTAATTTCAAACAATTATATGTTCAACTGGGTCTCAATTTATTTCTCCGATTTCACACTTTTGTCAATTTCTTGCCAAAATTACGATATCTTTTACAATCAATTCTAGATTAGTGTCGGTAAGTGTAGTTTTGCTTTGACAGGAAATTAATATGTTCATCCACGCCATAAATCACTCGGTTGCATGTTAATTTGTAATTTCTACATATTTGGTGTCAAGTATTACACAACTGATTCCTAAGATAAGTACTTTGTAAATAAAATATATATATAACTATCCTCCACAAAAAAAAAATCGTCACGTCTTCAATGACACTTTCTTTTCAATTTTATTGTTGTCCTTTTCATAAAATTTTGATTCATGGTTTAAATGATAATAAACATTTCAGTTGTATTTGTCAAAACATCTGATATATCTTTAATAGTTGAAAATCTGAATGTGTTTTAAATAGTAAAAAAAGACTACGTCAAAAGATAGTTTGGTCCTGTAAATCAATACTCTAATAATTTTGACATCTGAAATTAAAAAAAAAGCTCATAACATGGAATTATTTAAAATTTCCTGTTGATTAACTAAGACGTTATTAAGAAACTCAAAATCAAATTTCTTAAGGCAAAATTGACTGTAGATGGATTTGCCTATTCTTTTTATGTCCCTTTTTAGGTCCCTTTTGCTCCAAAAGAGGGACGAAAGATACCAGAGGGACAGTCAAACTCATAGATCGAAAACAAACTGACAACGCCATGGCCAAAAATAAAAAGACAAACAGACAAATAATAGTACAGATGACACAACATAGAAAACTAATGACTAAGCAACACGAACCCCACCAAAAACTGGGGGTGATCTCAGGTGTTCTGGAAGGGTAAGCAGATCCTGCTCCACATGTGGCATCCGTCGTGTTGCTTATGTGATTACAAATCCGGTAAATACTCTAATTCAGTAGGTCACATTCGTGAAAAGGGAAGGGTATTGTAGTTACAACATAAGGAACATATCCGATATCATCTATCAAATGTTCCTAAAAATTTATATATCCCTGGCCTTCAATTATTTCATTCCTGATGAACGTAAATACAGAATCCAAAAAGACTTCAGACATAAAAAATTAATAAAGTGTTATTTTCATTTTGAAATAATTCATTTCTTTTTTATTTTCAATCCATGCAATTTTTTATTAAAAAATAAACAGTTTTATCACTTGCATTATGTATTACATAATGATATGTTTAAAGTGAAATTGGTTTAGGTATGAATCAGTATAGATGTGGCATCAGTCAATGTGAAAGCAAGCCTCAGACACAACAAATCCATCAAATTTTCATTAATGATCAAATACAATCTTTAAAAGAAGCTATCTAGAGGTTAAATACACTCTAAAAAATAGACAAGTTTCTATACCATTGGTAAACATTGTTTCTTAGATAGCAAGTACATGTAACTTCTCAGATATTTTAGATGAACAATTTGTTAAATTAACCCATTTGAAAAAATTCACTGCATGGTTTTCAAAGTTTTCATGGTTATTAATTTTGTAAATAAAATAAATTGCAGATTTGTCAAAATTGAAATCACAAATTCAATTTTTTTTCACATTGCATTGCATTGCATGAAAAAAATGATTTTTGGTAGCCAAAGGTTACGATCCGGTCACCTACTCTTTAGGGTGAAGAGTAGGGGAGTTGATTCTTACCCTTGGCTAGTGAAGATGACAGTAGTTAAACAATACTTGCATTCTAAAAGTTACTAAAATCAAATTTCAAATATAATTCCATACCAATTTTCTTAATTCGTCTTTACTGTCAACTTGGCTGTAATCTTGTTGAGCTGTAGAATCTTGAGTTAGGTCCCTTTTGACACCATTTATTCTCAAACAGCTATCAACAAATTGATGAACCACTGGTTTTCTTCGTAGCTCGAATGCTGAAATAATAACAAACCATTTATGTCAATATCACTTAATTATCTTAGGAAATAAAATAAAACTTACCATACAGATATTTATGATAAAATCTTAACTTTAATTCTATGAACCTACATAAAAAATTATGAAAGTGTATCCCATAATTACAATCAAATCAAAATTTTTACCAAATAAATATTTTATGATAGAAAAGTTATTCACAACTTGCTAATATTGGAAATTCAATGTGTTAACATCCAATAGTACCCCGGTACATAAACTACACAGTCCTGAGAGAATTGTAAATTTACAAATCTCTTTTTGAAGACATCTTTATATATCTTAATGGCTTGGATTTGAAAACGTTTTATCATTTAAAAAATGTCTGTCACATTTTTATTTCAAATGCTATTGTTTGTTTATGTTCTAATATTGGTGCCTGTTCAAGAAACTATCATATAGATCACTAAAACATTTATGTTTCAAAGACATTACTGTGGATAAACTTGTCAATCACGGGAATATATTCAGTACAACTACGTCAAATGCATATGAGACACGTCACTACAGCACTTCAATAATGTTAATAATATTTACATTTTGTTTCATTCAAAAGTTCATTTTTTGAAACTTGTATAAGTAGAAAACAATTGATCAAACAAATGATCACACAGTGTCAGGTTCTTATCATATGTATGACATGTATATATTCATGGTAGGTTTCAATTCTTATGTTTTTATACGACTGCAAAATTTTTGAGGTCGTATAATGGTATGATGTTGTCAAACACATTTGGTTTCCAGACAATAATTTTAGTATAAGTCTATGGATCTCTTTGAAATTGTACCACATGGTTTTATACCACAAAAGGAAGGTTGGAATTGATTTTGGGGGTTATTGTCCTAACAGTGTAGGAATAAGGGGCCAAAAACAAGCATATTTCTTGTTTCAGGACAATAACTTATGTATAAGTGTATGAATCTCTATGAAATTGTATAGCAAGGTTCCATACCTCAAAAGGAAGCTTGGGATTGATTTTGGAAGTTATGGCCCAAATGTTTTAGGAATAAGGGGCCAAAAACAATATTTTTCTAATACTTTGTATAAATTGCTTATTTCTTGGAAAGTTTTACAGAAATTTGGTAATAGGTAATAGATCTTTTTTATTCAAGATAAGAAGACGTATGAATGGACTGATTGAATGATGGATGGATGGACAGATGGGAACAATATTGGATGGATTGATGGATGAATGAAACAAGGATGGATGGATGAAAGATGGATGAATGAAAGATGGATGGATGGATGAAAGATGGATAGATGGATGAAAGAGGGATGGATGGATGAAAAATGGATAAATGGATGAAAGATAGATGGATGGATGGAAGAATGGATTGATCAATGTTCTACATCCAGCTGGTAATCTTTCAACCATTAAGTAAGGACAAATTGTTTTGTGATATGAATATGAACAATGATTTACACGGATTATCACTACTATTTATAACATGCTAACTCACACAAGAAAACGTCACTTTAACCAGTCTTAGCCCTTAAACTCTTAAATTCCACATGATTGGCTGAGATGCAGATAATACCAATATTACAGGTCTGTTGTTTAAACAGCCAGGAATAATATGCACAACCTCCAGCACTTAAAGAGTACAACTTATTGTCATACATCCATGATATGAATATCAAACATCATTTCTACCAGACTAACATCCCTAGATTGATGTTTATAGCGTTACACAAATAAATTATCCATAGAAACATGTCTTTATTAAAATAAGGAGATGTGGTATGATTGCAAATGAGGCAACAATCCACCAAAAGAAAGACAAGCATGTAAACAACTCTTTATAATTCGCTGTCAAACAAATTTTGTTATACAAAGAGCATAAAAGGTACCACAAGTTAAAACAAGAATGTGTCCATAGTACAAGGATGCCCCACTCGCACTATAATTTCTATGTTCAGTGGACAGTGAAATTGGGGTCAAAACTCTAATTTGGCACTAAAATTAAAAAGATCATATAATAGGGAACATGTGTACTAAGTTTTAAGTTGATTGGACTTCAACTTCATCAAAAACTTAACCTTGACCAAAAACTTTAACCTGAAGCGGGACAGACAGAAGGACAGACGGACAGACAGACGGACGAACAAACGGACGCACAGACTGAAAAACATAATGCCCCTAGGTGGGGCATAAAAATGTGTATGTCTGGGTATGGTCACGGATTCATCTCTGGACTCAACACCCAATGGAAGCCTGCTGCCCATTCCACGAACTATGAATAAGACTGGGAGATATTACAGGACACGATTTCCCTAAATCATATGTATGACTTGCAGTTTGTTTATACTGAACCAAATAGTTTAAATAAGATGTGACAAATCATTTTTGAACAAGTATCAAACTGTGTTTTTATTAATATCTTCTTTAGTAAAACCTTAAACAAATATAATCTATCTCCTCGAGCTCAACCAAATATATCAATCACTCCGAATTTAAAATTTTGCTGTATTTACGTCAAAGCCACATGAAAACAATTCAAACAAACGTCATCATAAACTCCCAATGTGTCAACAAATACGTTTATAAATTAAAAAATACTTGTCTCAGAAAAGGTACTAGATATAATTACAAAATATCTAATCTAAACTAAACCATTGGGTACTTTAAAAAGTTAGCTGTTCATTTTTTTTATTTTTAAACCTCTCAAAACCTTTTTATACTGTGTTAACCTAGATGTATGTAACAACAAACATTTTTCACATATTGTATCACATCTGAAATCAACGAATATTAAATTTTGATAGGATTTCTGCATAATACAAAATACAAGACATGAATGAAAGTAACAATTCATGTATGGCCGTTTTAAAAAAGCATCAAGGAAATACATAATTTTTTTCTGTACATGTCAATTCCTTGTGCGATATTATTTTTTATAAACACAGGAGAACCATAGTTTTTATCACCACATGAATAAATGTCAATCCTTATATAATGTTTATTCCCTATTTCAGAATGTGAATAGTTTAATCTTACGTGATCTACAAGGAAATTGAATTTTATTGGTAAATAATATAGTTTTTTTGGCACTTCATTTCACTAGCAAAGTAAACAAACAAGACAATCTGTGTATACAGTGTAAATGTTTACAAAAATCTTTGGTCTAGTTTCATGACTCTTATCTTGGCTTTTACTATGGTATGAAATTGTAGTACATGTATATGGAAAACAGTCAGATATTGTTTTTCATCTATTAAGTTTTTTCTTTTTTATGTTTGACATTTTTTTCAAAAATTTGCAAGATGACACAAGGCCTACCGGTACATATTTTGACATGTGCAACCAAAATAATAAAAGTTCTTACAAGTCTTTCTCAAGAAAATGATATAATTTTTGTATGTAATTCCTAATGACTTTTTAACCATCATGTCAATCTCCCGCCTAGCAATATGTAAATTTTTGCACTTTTAGGATAAAACGAGATCATTTACATTCATAATAAAAAATTTGCTTAGTCAGTGAACAGGAAATCACAATAATTATAAAAATAAGAAGATGTGGTATGATTGCAATCGAGACAACTCTCCACAAGAGACCAAATGACACAAAAATTAACAACTATAGGTCACATTACGGCCTTCAACAATGAGCAAAGCCCATACCGCAAAGTCAGCTATAAAAGGCCCCGAAATGACAAATGTAAACCTATTCAAATGAGAAAACTAACGGCCTGATTTATGTCTGCTTTTGAAAAATACATTACAACTTAAAAGTTTTATACCCCTCTAAAGAAGGGTGGTATTCTGGTTAGTCCACATTCGTCCGTCAGTCCATCTGTCTCATGAAAATTTTGTTAAATTTTTCTTATAAAAATAAGGATGTGGTTTGATTACCAATGAGACAACTAAAGGTCACTTTATTGCCTTCAATAATGACTTCGAAATACAAAGTGTATTCTTTAAAGACTTAGAAATAGGTAGAAGGGTAAGACTAAGCAAGCGTTTGTATCCTGTCTTGTTAAGAAAAAAACAAACAAAATTTATTCCGAGGACATTGAACGTGTGTTTTTCTATAATACTGAGATGTTTTTAACTTATTATAATTAACGCTGTAGATGATATCTAATGTGAAAATTGAAAATCTTGCATAAGAAGTCTGCTAACATGTAGTCTTTGCAACAACAGAGTTAAAGGTCAGTATAGAACCTAATTGTAAAGGCCAATGACATGGACTGTATATAACAAATGTTTATACAATCAATACAATTTTGACTGCCGGAATAGCATGGTTGCAATAAAATACATTCATGCATATGCTGTCTGATACTTAATCCATACATTGAAAAGAGAGAAACCTGTGTAACAATAAATCCTACTATAAAATTCTTGTAAGTACCGAAATAATCCACTTTATAGTCAAATGTGGATAAAGCCAGCGATAAAAATATTTTAAATATTAGGTCATGCCAAATCTGCATTTTTAATGTGCATCATCGTAAAATCAACCAGGTCACACTTAACCTATTAATTTACATAAAGGGCAACAAATTTGTAGGCAAAAGTGCACGGTTGCGCTATAAATATATGTCTCATGTATGCGTTGTCTGATACATAATACATACATGTAGAAGAAAGAAACCTTTGTAACAATAAATTCCTCTATAAAATTCATGTATTGAAGTACTGAAATAATCCACATTGTAGACAAATGTGAAAGAAAGCAAAAATATTTTACATATTAGGACATGCAAAATCTTCAATTTTGATGTGCATTATCATAAAATAGAACCAGGTCACACTTAACCTGTTAATTTACATAAACATGTAAAAATCAATGAAAAACAGTTGCATATTTGAATTATGTTCAACCAAGTGTTAAACTACCTTATTAATAATATAATATGTAAAAGGAAATTTAAAACATCTCAAGAGCAATTTAATCAAAGTGAAGTAATACAATGTGCTTCAAAGAACTTAAGTGTATTTTGATGGTTAATATACAAAATTTATTACTTATTTGATAGAATGTAGATGCAAAAAGTACATGTATCAAAAAAGAATAAATTGGTTCTATTAGATTGTTCAACTTTTTTGGCTATCATTTAAATCTGCGCTATAACAGTCTGATAAACTTGTAAGTCTGATAGAATTAACTAAGATGTTGTAAACAATGTAATAGCACCTGAAACAGCAAGTACAGTTTGGGCTGTACCACTTTTTGGCTTACCATATAGGAGGGTCTAGATGGGGGTTCTTCATTTCTGTAATCTTTTTTTATTTAGGCCATTTTTCTCTATTCTTTATACTTTTTACCCATTATTCTCTATTCTTTATTATTTAACACCTCATTATTCTCTATTCTTTATTTTTTTGGTCCATTTTTCTCTTTTCTGTAAACCCCCATCCACACCCTCATAAAGGAAATTATAAAAAATCAAGCATTCCTGATTCTGAGTTATACTGTACATGAGTTAAATAAAAGGCCTGTTTTAGAGTAACAAACATCTGTAGCAATTATATATGCAAAATGCAACCATTTTAGTGAGCATTAATCTTTGCGCAAAGAATTTACTCATAAACTGTTTTAACACAGAGATATGTCTTGCCTGTGTATTCTAACTAATCACAAACTTTAATGGTGCCGATGCCTAAGTCTCCTTTTGAAATGAAATCTGTGACTTTTGTTGCAGGAGAGACATAAAGCATTTATTTTTATTTAATTATCTACTTGCAGTTGAAAAGCCTTAACATAATAATGATTTTTGTCATGATAAACCATTTATACATACTGTGAATTCATTTATTTTTGTGGGTACCAATTTTCGTGGATCGAGGAAAAGTTGATTTTTCATGGATATTTATTTTTGTGGTTTTGGCAAAGTCTGCATACTTTCCTTTAGAAAATTAGTAATTTGTTGAACATTTAATTTCGTGGTTCACTTGTACCCATAAAACCCATGAAAATCGGGGGGGGGGGGGGGGGGGGGTCCTCGGTGGCCGAGTGTAATCACTAGCCAGTCAACACTGAGGTTGTGAGTTCGAACCCCACTCCAATCTTAATTGACTAGGATTGACAGTTTTTCCTATCGATGGTCGTGGTTTTCGCCGGCTTCCTCCACCAATAAAAACTGGCCGCCACAAAATAGCCCAAAAGCGGTGCTTAAAAGTGGCATTAAAACACCAAAAATCAATCAATCAATCATGAAAATCAGTATCCAATGAATAACAACGAATCCACAGTACATAATTTTTACCCTCATTTTTTTTAAGATCGGCAAATGATAATATATGGCATTATACATGTTTATCATTTACGAAATTATTCAACATTAATTTAGTTTAACAACCCAGAAACTAAAAAGACACAGAATATAACAATTATCCACTGCCTTTGGATCAAAGATATGATTGTTATATATTTTTGGAGTTAAAATAGTAGCTTTACTGTTCAAGTTGAACTTTGGACTTGTTTCCATTTTTAAACTTAATAAATAATATTTAGAAAATACAGAACCATTAGGTAAGAAGCATGTCAGTTAGAATGAGCAAGGAATCATTTATTATTAAGTTAAAATTCAAAGCTATTGCGTAAAAACTGTAAGTAAATTCCAAAGTCTTGAACTAACCTCTTAAGATTCCCATTGTTTTTCCAACGTCTGAACCTTTATGTAAATATATTCCAAATATAAACAAAAAATTTAACTTCTCTATGGTAAGTAAGTTTAACTATGATCTAATGAGGAGTGCTTGAGACCGAAGCTTTAAATATGGTCTCGTATCAATTCTTTTGTTTGTATGTTTACATGTTTTTATCAATTACTTTACTTCTTTGTTTTTGAAAACTTTATTTTATCTATTGCCAAAACATGACTAATATTGGACTTTCCGAATGATGTTGACTTCCCTTTAAAACTTAACTTTAATTGTTTAAACACCTGAATTTGTCAAATTTTATTGAACAACGTAGGTAGGCTCTTTATCTCACCAAAACATTTTGATATTCAAATGAATTAAAAGACGGTTATCGTTCATTCATATAAACTAACATAAAGTCGTAATCTTAACCAAGACTTCAATCGTTTGATTTACAGTGCATGCAATATTGAATAAGACCTGTCTGGGTTATTGACATGGAAGGGGTAAAGGGTTCAAATCATACATGTGCAAAATACCCCACGACTCGCGTGCTTGACATATGAGTAGGTTGTAGGCATTGTCATGCTGACTTTGTGCAATATTTGATTTTTAAAAACCTTTGTTTTAAGAAGAAGAGAGATTGTATCGCTAAAAGCAACCCTAATAAGTATACAAGTGTCAGAATCGTTAAATTCTTCCTTGTGTTAATAAAAACCGCAGAATTTAAATGAAATAATAAATTGTATCTTCATACCATCAAATTATAAGGTATTTTTACAGTAGATGAAATCTGCCTGTTTAACAAAAAATATCTTTAATTTTAAAGACAAAAGGAACTCTAAGCTAAAACGCAGTATTATAATTATATTGTATACATCATTATGGTATTTCCAAATGTATATTTAATTCAATATATAAACTATTTTCAAACAAAGCTTTTATATACACAGTCCTATTGCAAGAGAATGTAGTTAAAAGAATGTTTAAGGGATTGTCTACTCCTTTTTATTAGAAAGCATTCTTTTGTAATTCAAAATATCAAAACTGACATTTCATTTGAAAAAAAGCATAATGCTTTCAAAAATTATTACAGTCGAAAAATATTCATTATGTGAAATAATCAAAATATACATTTATATTTATAAAATATATTTTTTCTGATTATTTGTGTCAGTTAGTTCATGGCACCAAAAAAATGGATCACTAATATCAAAGGAATAATCGTCATCTGTTACCATTAATAACATCTTTCAAAATCTTGGCCCTTATAATTTGATATAACTTAAGATGTACTTTGGTTCACATTGATAGAAATTTAATCGTCATAATGACAAATCGTCAAATATAATAATTAAAGTTTACGATCTAATTATAGTCTAATTTGTTAGATGGTTATCCGTCCCAATGTGAGTAAAGGGGTTATTCAAGTCAAATTTCCATTCACAATGTTTAAGATGATATGTCATTGATTGTCATCATTTTAATAAGAAAGCTATTAATATTGATCCCGCCATATTTGATACCCCTGGAAATGTCATGAGAAGGTTGTCATCCAATATGTGTGTCATGTCCGCAGATGGTTTGCCATTTCTGGGAGGTCGGAATCAGTTCATTATAAAATCCCCTTTTCTTTTGAAGGTCTATATGCAGCAAATTTAAGATAAATCTGTTTCTAAATGTGTGGAAAATTACAACAATCAATTTGATATCAACTAGTCTAAAAAAAAAAAAGCACGATTCACTTTATCAAATCATAGTAGTTTACAGGTCAACTAATTTTACAGAAATCTATTACATTTTAAAGACACTAATGTTTTTACAAAAATTCCTATGTATCAAAAAAATTTGAAATTGGAGTTTACAGTTCTTTGCATTCAAAACTATTCTAAAATAACATATTTTTTTTCAAAATGATTTTAAACCAAAAAGTAAATCTATCATCCTTTCATTAGCTAACTCAAGAAATTTTTTAATCCTTGTTAAACACAAGACTTTTTAAATAGTCTATTTACCATAAATTTCAGACATTTAAGTTTACAAGGCTATTAAATAATTGTTCTTATTTCTCATGCTGTAATAGCAGACGAATGAATTTTTCAAGCAAAGCTCATTCAATCCTATGTATAAATTTGACACTGGTTAAAGATATCTAGTATGTAAATGCTGCAATCAAGATTGCATTCAGGTGTTTTAATGAACTGTTCATACACTTCAAGTATAAAAACATTAAAAGAAATAAAATATTTTATTCTAACTCAAAGCATTTTGCTCTTAATCAATTTACTCTAGTCGAGTCTACTGTACAGCAAACATTAATCCATGTAAATGATTGATTGATTGGTCGATTGATTGATGGAATTGTTTGCTTTTCTGGTTTATATCACCTTAGAGCAAAAGGCTATATGGCAGGGATAGTTAATTAGCACATTTTAACAAATAAACACATCTGCAAACTCTCAATGTTCAACCCTAGAATAGGAAACATGTCCCCAAAAAAAGCAAAATCGGACATTAAATCTCCTGCTTATAGGTATAGACAAACATTGGTTTTCATTGCAGGGGAGAAAATTAGGTAATAAATCACCTCTACTATCCCTATTTCTGACTGACAATGGAGAATCCAAGATAAATCACTGAATTGTTAGATAATCGTAATCCTTTAAAACTACTAAAGGTGATAAAATTAGGCTCTTATCAATTATTTAGAGCTTTATTTTTTCCTTAAGGGTACATGGGACTTAACCGATAATTAATAATGGTTTAAATGTACCGAGCCCTATTTAAGTTTCATACTTTAAAAATATCATATGCAACATTTCAACATATATGTTCTTAAATTTTAATTATCTAATATAAATGGTGTATGAAATGGATAAATCCAAAATAAAGTCTGGCTCATATAAATTTTTTTATCACCCACGCTTACTCAAATTTCTGAATGTAGTAAAAAGAGAGCTTTGAATGAAAAATGTGTTATAACCGTCATTTCATATTTAATTCATGATAAATACAATACAAATGCAATGTCAGTCGATGAAGTGCATAAAATTTTAATAATGTGCAGATACTCACATTTTGTTTTGTATGCATTTAACCCATCCTACGTCTTTTGAAAAAGTCACGATGGTCAATGGATGTTTTATCAAAATAACTATTTGCTGCATATTCAATTTTTCTTTTTCATTAATTCCTGCGGCATCAATTCAAACTTGTCAAAAAAGTATCAAACAAGATAAAAAAAAGCTTATAACTGATACCAGATCCGTTTTATTATTTTTTTTAAAATAATATTTGTGTTCTATACCTTTGTCTTTAAACCAAGGAAAATTAAAATCCCCCAAAAATGTAATCCAATACACCTTGATGATAAAAGTACCTGTCAACAGGTAAAACCTAGCCAATACACATCTGGATGAAATTTGCCACGATCCATCTTTTTATACTACAAAACTGAACAATAAGGCAAAAAGGTTCAAGCTTACCTATTCATTGATGTCAACAGACTTGGTAGGGAACATTTCAATTTTAATACCCACTTATTAGAATCTATTTGACAGCTCGCTGATTCTAATTCACTTTTTGAATGAGAGAGATACAATATCCTGCCAAGCTAAGCAAAAAAATTTCAATACAATTTGAAAGTTAAAACAGCAATATGATCCAATATTTATGTAAACAAACAACCTATATATTCCTTCATCCTATTTTGATTCAAAATTAAAAGTAAACAATTTGTTTCAAACCAATTTCATTTATTCAGCATATTTATTAAAAACAAATCTGCAATGCAGCAATAATTTTGTAAAACAATTTATTTTCACTGACTTCACAGTAGTTCATTTTCATGATTTTTCCAACTAACTTGATATATTTACAAGATTTATATTAGGGAAGATTCAAATTTGATATATATGTAATAAATGTATATATATTCGCATTATATCTCTCCTTGCAAAGGTTAGGAAGAATAAATCACACATGATTTACAGTAACTAAAACATGTTGAATATCTACTTTCCACTGATTTAAAAGCATGAGATATTTTTTTAAATCTACCAATTATGTATCAAAATTTAAAGATCTTTTACTAATTCAACAACATTAAGAACTTAAAAGTAGGTGTTAAATAGTTTATTTTTTTTATGCAATAGCCAAGCTAAAACAAAGATTTTACATTTCAGTTTCCTATCTTGAATTTGGAATCTCTGCAATATATCGGATAAACCTTCAAACACATGCTTGATGAAAACTTTATTTTAACGATTGTTTTGGGACTGTTGTTGGCTACATTTCTGCAAAAAATTATGCAAGAAATTGCTGGGGATTTTTGGTTTGAAAAAAAGAAGCTTTTTAAAATACTTGGGATTCGTTATTATAAGTGGGATACCAATTTCATGGTTTTCGTGGGTATAAAGGTAAACCACAAATTAAAATATTCAACAAAGTACAAATTTTGTATAGATTTGGTATGCAGACTACCAAAACCATGCAATCAAATATCCATACAAACATAATTTTTCGTATATCCAAGAAAATTGGTATCAATGAAAAGAATTCACAGTAGAATGGGGTACCATATAAAACACCTATAATGGTGTAGGTAACTATAGTAAATAATTATTTCCAGTTTTGTATAGTGAGTTACAATATAAACGACCAAGTCAATACAGTGTAAAAACATCTATATTGATATGAACCACATTATCTGAGGTGAATGACCAATCTATTACTCTGTTTGAAACTGTGAATCCATTTAGGGATGTTTTCAGCAAGTTCAATCAGTATTCTTAAAACGGCATACAAAATACCCACTTATATCCGATCCCAATATGATGTTACAAATATATAAAAATTGCATTATTAAATTTCAATTGAGCGTGCGAGTTTGAACCTTTATAGTATACTATACCAATGTTGATGGGTGTTATTTCAATATCTATCTTATTTCAACATGATCTCGAAACTTTCCATCTGACTTAGTTTTTTAAATGAAGACACAATTGGGAGATGTCATTTGTAAAATATTTTTTTCATAGCTTACAATAAAAAAAATGAAATTTTGCCAGACCACATACAAATTTTGAATCTGATTTCACGATGGAAAACCGATACGCTGAATGTATTAAGTACTTATTTGTTATAAGCCTTTCAATGAAATTCAAATCCTATAGTCTATAAAGAAAAAGCGGAATAATTTTTTTAATGGCATAGAAAAAAATTATAAGAGGTAAGAATGTCCTAAAATGAGTTAAAGAGAATCTGGTGCACTACTCATTGTGCTTATCCGTCTGCTGTAAGAAATGAATTGGAGTAGGTCATATGTCAATGCTTTAGAAATCAGAATTAGCTGCATACAACTATGTGTAAAATATAATATTTGATATATATATATTTAGGACTATATATTTATTAACTGAGAGAGTAATTATCAAACATTTTATGCTATGTACCGGTACCCAAGCTATCTAGACAAAATTTAAACTTTACCAAATATAACTGAGGGTAGTGCCCATAATTGGGCTTAAGATTTGGTAAGATTAAAGATGTAGGGTTTCTACAACAGTTGTAGAATTTTAGGGCAGACATCAGCCTGGATTGTTAAGTACTGTTTTCATTACAGGAAAATTGGATGTATTATCTTAAGAACTATTTAATCTGCATCAAGATAGATAACTTTGAGGTAAAATTTAGATGCTAAGGACAAGGATTAAACCATGCATTTACAATCTTTCCATTATACCAATGAGCCAAACATTACAGAACAAGAATTTATAAATAAGAAATCTCAATCTATCAAAAATATGCACCTAAGTTAAATAGGATGTAATATCACTGTCTCAATGCCATTGACAATATTATATAGTTCTTCCATGAAAAAAGTTACATTAATGAAACTAGATATAGATATTACAACCAGAGTTAGGGGCATAGACAGTTTTTCATTTAGAAAATTTGAGCTGGAGTTATTTCCCTTGGTTACCATGTTGGAGGGCAAACTGGTTCATTTTCTTATTTGAAACATGTGATACAAGCAAGTCTGATAAGAGATCCTTACTAGATGGTAATAATGAATAATACAAGGCTTAAACAATTTAAAATTGTTCAGAAAGGAACTTTTTCTTTAGTCTAGCAGTCCCTTAATATAACAAGATGATTTTTTGCAGATATATGTAGGAATTTATGCTGGTTGCCCTCTAACATGGTGGAAAAGGGAAATAGTTCTAACTCAAATAATGTTGATTGAAAACTATCTATACCCTGTTGATAACGCTACTTTTCCAGTCTAGATTTTCAATATTTAAAATCCAAGACTTTCTTACCACTTTGAAAATATGAAAATTTACCTATTGAGATGAAGATGTAGTTTATTAATAACACTTTATCCTTTTTGTGTATTAATTACCTTCAAACTGTTCTCTCAGCTTCCTTATTCTGCCTCTGATCTTTCTTCTTTTTGTAAAATCCTGGCATTCCTTCAGCTTAAATAAACAAAATAGTGTAATCTAATTCGAAATCAAATAACAGACATTTGAGTTGTGTGTAAATGTGTACATGTGATGATGATTGTTAGCTGGTCTTGTCTTTTTGTTGCTCTTTTTTTTTCTTTTCTTTTTTTTTGGCAAGTTTTCTTTGCAAACACTGAGCTGTTTCTGTGATTTTCAGGTGTTTACTTTCATTCAATTATTTTCACAGGTACCAATTGATGACAAACTGTAACTACCTTTATACCTATAACTTTAATGATTTTGACAAATTTGATAGATGGCTGCTTAACGTCAAGCTGAAAATAAATATGCATATTCAGGACAAGAACATGTTAATGTAATATGAATATTAGCCCTGCTATGTACAGGACGACATGGTGAGCTGTATTTTAAAGGTGCAAGTTCACAAGGGAATAGTCGGCAGGAAGACATGTCACCTTACCTGGACACATTATCCTCACTCCTAGCCGGCCAATTCTTGCTCTTACTCCTTAATGACGAATTCTTTAAAACAGAGAAGCAGCAAATACCAATTTTAAAGTTTTTGGTTTGGACCCGGCCGGTGTTCGAACCCACAACCTCCTGCACACTAGGCGAAAAATGCTACCACGAGACCACCGAGGTGGTTCAATACAACTAGTGGTTTACCTATATCCTTGAAACGCAGGAAATAATACTGAATGCACATTATATTGTTACCTGTATCTGAAGGGCCTGTATTTGTTGTGTGAATTCCTCCTCAGTCTGACATTGTACTTGACCTTCATGGTTAGCCTCCTGGTTTTTCTGACAGTCACTACAACCATCAGCAGCATCATCTATGTCTATTGCATTTGATGATGATGAACTTTTGTCCTCTATCAATGAACTTTTGTCCTCTGTCAATGAACTTTTGTCCTCTTTCAATGAACTACATGGCGATGTTTCAATTCTAATGGAACAGTTGCTATCCTGTTGTTTTTCGTCAGTAGTATTCTTTGTAGTCATCAAGTCCTGATGAATTTTCTCACTTTTAAGTTCTTCATTATCGGTTTTAAAGAAAGATTCATGTCCATTCTGTTTAACAGAAATATCTTTCTCGTTTTCATTACACTCACTTTTATCAGTTTCATCCGTCTTTTGAGAATTTTGACTGATGAAGTTACCGTTTATTTCATTAGTACCATGGGAGTTATTGTCATTTTCTGTTTCTAGGGAACACTGATCCATAGATCTACGTCTCATATCTTCAGTAATTATAGTGCCACTTTCTTTACTCTTTGATAAAATATCATAATTACTTAACGAACTTTGTTCCAAAGATTTACGTCTTATTTCGTCAGTAATTATAGCCCCACTCTCTTTACTCTTCAATGAAATATCGGCATTACTTAATGAACTTTGTTCCAAAGATTTACGTCTCATTTCTTCAGTAATTATAGCCCCACTTTCTTTACTCTTTGATAAAATATCACCATTCCTAAATGAACCTTGTTCCAAAGATTTACGTCTCATTTCTTCAGTAACTATAGCCCCATTTTCTTTACTCTTTGATAAAATATCACCATTCCTAAATGAACTTTGTTCCAAAGATTTACGTCTCATTTCTTCAGTAACTATAGCCCCACTTTCTTTATTATTTGATAAAATGTTGCCATTATTTATCAAACTTTGTTCCAAAGATTTACGTCTGATTTCCTCTGTTATAACAGTTCCACCTTCATTTGGCATATTTTCTTGATTAAGCTGGTTCTTTTTAAGAACTTTGAGGGAATTACTTCTTCTTACATCATGACCTCCTGAGGTCATGTTTTTCCGAGACTGATCTATATTTTCAGAATTATCGTTAGTGAACACATGTGACTGGCATGGTAAATTGGCAGCTTTAGAATTTCCTATACTTCCAATTTTCAACTGACTTTTATAACTTTTCACAGGACCTTCCATGTTTGCTTGGTGAGTGGCAGTTTCCTTTTCTGATTTTATTGCATTTTTTGGTATGTTTGATGTGATTTTCCCTCGACTTAAAAATCTACATACTTGTTTTCTATCACTTAAAGGTTCCTCATTCAAATTACTTACAACTAAAGTTTTCACAGAACTTTTTTTATCAACTAAATGTTCCTCATTCGAATTACTTAAAACTAAAGTTTTCACAGAACGGATTTTATCAATTAACTGTTCCTCATTTGAATTACTTAAAACTAAAGTTTTCTCAGAACAGTTTTTATCAATTAAAGGTTCCTCATTTGAATTACTTAAAACTAAAGTTTTCACAGAACGGATTTTATCAATTAACTGTTCCTCTTTCGAATTACTTAAAACTAAAGTTTTCACAGAACTGTTTTCTTCAATTATAGGTTCCTCTTTCAAATTACTTACAACTAAAGTTTTCACGGAACTGATTCTATCAATTAAAGGTTCCTCTTTCAAATTATCCACAACTAAAGTTTTCACAGAACTAATGTCTGCTGTATTCCTAACGTTGCTTTTACTCTTTTCAGGAAATATCAAGTAATTGCTCTTATCCTGAGGAGACGAAGACTTTAGAATTTCATCATGAGAAAACTCTGGTATATCAATATCTTTTGTTTCAGAAGGCTCTGAGGCTAAAACAGACCTGACTTTGTCTTCTGGTAGTGAACTTGTAGATTTTATTGTTTCAGGGTATTTTTCTCCTTGCAGTTTCAGATTAATAGATATTTTATCGTCATCTTGCAATAGTAAAGAACATCCTTTTGTTACATTCTCATTAGAATTAATCTCCTCTGATTGTTCTACAATTTGACAATGAAAAGAGTCAGCTTTGTTCTCATCCTCCTTCAATGGCAGATGAAATGACTTTTCTGAATTTTCTTTATATTTTTTGGTCGATATGGAAGGTTCTAACTTTAAATTTCGTGGACGGAACGACAGTGGTTTGATACCTCCACAAGCTCCTCTGTTGAGCCCCTGTACTTCACGTAATGCATCTCTGATCTTCTTCCTTTCTTCAAAGTTGACACAACTATCAAGCTGAAGAGAGAAAATAAATATATATATATATATATACTAAACCCATGAATAATTCCATAGATACATCAAAGCAGAGCTCTTTACTCATCAAAACTCCCTTTTTCACCTTTTGTGATTTTTTTCATCTTTTCGCATACACCAAATGTATATCCATCTTCAGCATTCTGAAAGGGAGGTTACCCATATTTGTCTTTTGAAAAATAAGGAATTTTTTCTTTGAAACAATTTAATAAAAGAATAATCTTTCTAACTTACAATGTTACATAAAAATTTTGAAAATCACCAACTGAATAAAAGTAAGAAATACCAATGTAATAAAAATAATAAAAAAAAAACCTTATTAATCTATCTCTTGGTAACAGCTTTCAATGATTACTATTACCGTAAAAAGTTAAGCTAACTCATACATGATTTGCCAGCTAGCTTAACATGATTAGGCTCTGAAATCGACTGGAACAATCCTGGTGATGGTCTTTAAATGTGATTAAAATAACAAAATGTTTTTTATTTATTTTCAGATACTTCAAAGGTCTTTCTAGTTGAAAATAAAATTTTCAGATCAAAGACCATATTTTATGGATGCTTAGGGTGATGTTGAACCACATTAAACTGATATTGTTATACAATTTTTCCTCTAAATGGGATTCTATTTTCACACAATGTAATAAATGTTTTTTAATGTGTATTGTTGTAACAATTTTATGAACATAATAATAAAAACTACTCTCACATGATATACAAATAATTGGAACAATAAAACATTATGTTTGAATTTGTCAAATGTCAAATAAGTACTTGTGGTATTTTACATCTCAACTTATTTGGGGCCAGGATAAATTGTTGATTTTCAATGTTGTAACCTTTAAATCAATTTTTTTTTTAGACAAAAACTTTTTATTTCATCGGAATCCAAATAAAATTTTCCCAAATTACATGCTGGTAGTCTGTAATATAGCATGTTTTGAGTATAAAACATGTAAAATAAGGAGATTAAGTATGATTGCCAATGACACAACTATCCAAAACAAAGCTGAGACCTGCATTTATTTGCCAGGGATGCCATCTTTTGAAAATAAAGTATTCAAAAAATCATTAAGATATATCTGAAAACATGTACTAACACCAATTTTTTTTTAAACAAATTGTCACAAATTTCAACAATTTGAAAAAAATTGTGTATAAAAATGTCATGAAATCAGATAAATTAATTATAATAGAGAAAAAGATCCCTGGATTGATGTTGGACATCAGAAAACTTTTTTAAAATCATCTTTCAAGGGCAATAACTCTTATAAAGTCAACAAATAGTTCATGATAGCAGTTCCATTAGTTGATGGGTGCTAATAAATTAACAAAAGAGAAGTTGGTTTTTAGGTGTCAATAAACAGCAACCTAATGATCCAAAAAACAAAAAGACTTCTAGAGGTCACCTGCGGTCTTCAACAATGGACAGTTGTATATAAAAAATATAAGCTTTGAAATTCTCTAGAGTCTAGAAAAGTTGAAAATAAATTTAACAGAGACAATCAAAAGATCTGTTAAAACAACAATTCCAAAAGTGACTAAATACATTAAGATATACTGTAAATTCAGATAATTTTTGTGTATTTCGTTATTGCAAATAGACTGAAGGGAGATTAATAAGTGCAATATTAGGAAATGGTGCATGCAAATTTTGCTATCAAAATTAAAATGCGAGCTTTTTCTTTGTGAAACTGTATGTTACTGTCACATTAAAAATCTTAAAAACTTTGCAAAAGTTTCTGAATTTATAGTAACAAAGTAACAAAAGCAAAGGCCAACCATTGATGAGTTTCTTGTCTTGGAACTGGCACATGAAAATGTAACAGGGGAACTATCAAATTATTTCAAACTGAAATTTTAAAACTCTAAAAGTACTATTTTTTTATCCAGCAAATCACGTAAATTTAGCATGACTTTTATAAGTTTAATAATCTTATCAATAAGTGCAAGCTGAGACTACTAAGTGTTATAGTAGTCTCAGGTGCAAGTAATAGTTTCTCAATTTTCCAAATATTTCCCCATTTGTATTTCCATGTTCAATAGTCTCTATTCGTTGTGTTTTATACTCATTTTAGTCATTTTGCTCTATGCAAAAATAACATTTACTGTTCATTCATTGTGAAATTCTTTCTTCTGTGCACAAAGCCCTCCTCCTTAAGTCTACAACAAAAGCCTTCATGTTTGTATTGTAGACATATACACATCTTTGCTTACCGTTTTCAACTCTTATATTCCAAAAATGAATAAAACCGCAAAGCACAAACAAAATTATACTCCTGATATTGTAATTCACTAAATGTATATAATAAATATATCAGAGAGATATATGGCAACAAACCATATTCACTGCCAGGAATGTCAAAACAATTAAAATAAAAACATTTCCTATAATTTTGTCAAATGTCACTGGTAATACAGTCCGTCAAGACAGACAGTTAAACAAATTTGAGCTTGAAAGAACTTTGACTAACAAAAATTTGGTGACAACTGCCTTCTTTTAATCAACAATTTCATATGTACAGCTCATTATTCATAATACACAATGAGATACTAAAACCTGATCTTATTTCGAGAACCAAAGTAAAAATATTTCAAACTATCAGTTGACAAGAAGTTAAACATATTATTATGCAACTACATTTACCATTGTAACATGCAATGACAATATAAACTCCTTTAACATTTCATTTTTTATACAATTTATGATTTATGCAAGATAAATCTAGTTAATATGTCTCTATTTAAAACCATTAAATACTATCAATAATAATCAAAATCTCAATTTCAGACCATTAATCTTATTTAAGTTTATTCAGTAAACTTGTAAACTTCAAAGAACTTATATTACAACCAGTGTTCTATTCAGTCAAATTATCATATGAAAAATAATAAGACTATAAAGTCAACTAGTATAATTCTGATTGTATTGCATGCATCCCATAGTACAGTATCCTCAGAATCTGAATGAAATTAAACAATAATTACTGTGGATATAATAAAGGTAATTTTTGATAAGGCCCCAATATGGCCCCTATTTCTAGCTAAAATTTCAAATATGATTTATTAGCCATTATTACATTGAATTGTAGCCTCAAATACAATGATAAGATAGGAAATAGTTCTTGAATTGGTTGAAAATTTACCTATAACCTACCGGTAGCTTACAAATTTTAGAAAACTATTTTTTATAGTCTTTTAAGAACTTCAATGGGTGCCAGCAATGAAAATAGAGAATTAACTAATTTCACTTTTTTTTTTAAAAGTGTGTCACCTAAACTGATTGATTTCATAATTTTTAGTCATTCATAAATAGTTCGAAAACACCTTCGTCTTAAAATTTATTATGCATAATAACTGTATAAAGCTTACCTTTAAAAAAGTAAGAAATTTCCAAATTACAACACACAAAATTATGATAATAAATTCTATTACGTTAATATTCAAAAGCACTTGTATTAATTCAGTGATACACAATAGAAAAGTCACCGATTTTTTTTTTCAAAGAGAAAAAGTCAAGATTTATTTCCCGTCACAACAATATGATTCAGATCATTAATTCATTATAGTCGTCTACATGCAGATAAACAATAGTTCATTTTTCGTGTGCAGGAATGTTAAAAAATTTTGTAACCAAAAATTGCCTATATGGCTGAATTTTAATTGATGTCTGGAACCACAAAGATGTGAAGTTTTAATTTAAGGATAATTTTCCAGCGATAGACAAAGGAAAAGTTTCAAAAACATGCAAGGATATCTATTCGCACTGGTTTAATGTTTCTAAAAGGGAGTATAAAAGATAAAGAAAATTGTTTAGTTGTTCATGAACCTTAACTCAACAACAAAAACAAAATATAAAGATATCTCATGTTATTCAATAAAATCAACATTCTGTTTTGATTTTTTACCTATACTACATTGTTTGATACAGAATTATCAGATTTCTGCAAAAATTCAATAAACTGAAGGACAGACAAGATTAGATCATAAGGAAATAACACACCCCAAAACATGATATACACATGTACATCCTTAAGAAATAAAATTTTATTTATTTCAACATAATTTTTTTTAAACTAAATCGCAATTGTAAAATATACTTTGTTTTTTAACATACCAATATGCCTTATCTTTCAGAGTGTTACTTTTCTACTGTTAATTTCTTGTTCTTAAAAAAGAAAGTTTTTCCAAAACAGTTAATAACTACATTTGTATATACTTTTTTTTAAATAATTTCAAGTAATTAATAACACTTTCAAAAACCTTTGTGAGGTGAAGATGAAGAAATGTAACAACACTGACAACTATATTTTGCTGCCATGGTGACTATTACATATTTGGTTCCAACACTAATGTTTTTGATGATTTCAACTGTAAACATTTCTCTCACATCTATAGCAACCAGCTTTAGTCCACTTTCATGAACAATCTAATTCAAAAGATGTGTTTTAAAAATTTCCAATTTCAAGAACCCAATTAATTTCTTTTCAGTATCACATAATGATGTGCCTACCTCCTAGTCGGCACAATTCACCCGTAATAATTACTTCTATCTTGTCATCAGCACATATATTACTTATATCAATAAAGCTTTACATAAATCATATCTAACATTACTTTTTTTCATATTTATAATGTGACATTTAATCTTGTCAGATCAATAGTAAGATTAATGTACTAGTCAAGGGTGAAACCATCTTCTTTACCGACTATACAGTACAGTATAGGTGTTTCTAATTGTTGAAGGCTGTACAGTGACCTATAATTGCTTATATCTACTTCATTTGAACTCAGGTGGATGTCTGTCTCATTGGCTATCATATCACCTCTCCTTATTTTTATATTCAATAACTTTCCAACTGTCCCCATTAACAAATAGTACAATTTAAAAAAAAAAGTAGATGTGGTATGAACGCCAATGAGACAAATATCCACCTTAGTTCATTAATGAAGTGGATACAAGCAATTATAGGTCACTG